CTGCTACTATAATTAGGCGATCGTCTGGCATGCGTTCCTTGCCACTCAATTTGAACTCTATGGTTCTAATTACTCCTTTCGTATTTTTTTTTTCATTTGTGCAATAGCTGCCAATATAAGCCCCAAAGCACAATTCCAATTAATAATTAAAATATTTGTAAAGCCGCTAAAATGATAATAATGTGCAATTTATGTATGACATGATAAACTCAAGAACATAAATGCCGATTAGTTTTCAATAAATTACAATCCGCCAAAAGTGTTTTGTGTCTTATGACGTTTTAAGTGTTTATGTAAAAGTTAAACCAGTTCAATTAATTGTGCAAACAAACCGACCCCGTCATTAGAAAACACATAACTCTGAGGCAATGAAGGTCACCGTGTGTTTTGGTGCCATTCGCATTGTCGTGCCCTGCGGCAATGGAGATTTGCTCGTCAAGGATCTTATCAACGAGGCAACGAGGCGTTACAAGAAAGCAGCAGGAAAGGTGAGTTGTGAACCAAATTTTGCTTACCAAGGAAGTATACGAGAGCTTTTTGTTTAATCAAATAAGGAAACGTACCCATACTACGTGACCCAGTTTTTCCAATGTTTAACCTCCCCCTCCCCCCTCGGTGACCACTCGTAGTATATTCCAAGACCCCTCCCCCACAGTTTTCACGTAGTAATTCATAAATATGGTTTTGAATCATTTCTTGCTAACAAAAAGTAAAAAAAAAAAAAAATTAATTGGCTTATATGTATTTGTCTTTATTAATATGGCGCTTGCTGCGTGACGGCAAGAGTGCATGCCTACCTTCATATAATTACAAGTGGAAAAATTATTATCAAGATAAAACTTATGTCAAAACTTAATTTTTAGAAACAAAGGTCCTGCGAGTTTAAAAAGCGTCAAACACTGCCCGCCATATTTGAATGTATCTCGAAAAAAACGCAAGATTTCCTTAGAGGATACTGACTACGTGATAAAAACCTAAGCCCCCCGCCCCTCACTGTGACCAAGCGTGGTATTTTGAAGATCCCCTCTCCCCCCTGAACGGGTCACGTAGTATGGGGGCGTTCCCTAAGCTTAACATGCATAGTTGAATAAATCTGGGGTCACAAGTAGAGCTGTAAAACTACCGATGGCATTATCGATAGTATCGATCGCTATCGGTTTTGGTTTTCGGTCTACTATCGATAGTTTTTAGCCACTCTTAGTTTTAAGCCATTTTCCAAGCAGTGACAATTTTGTGGCTAATAAATTTATTATACGGGTAAGTATTTTGAGAATAAAATGATATATTTTCCAAAGTTTTGCGTGAAAATATGTCAATATGTATATAGATGTAGTTTATTTTAGAAAACAGCTCTAAATCTTTGCAAAAGGAATGGCTATTGTGATTTTTAAAATATGCAATTTAATGTTTAATAGTTATAACTATTGAAATTATCCCCTCATAAAACAAAACGAGCCTTAAATTGTTTATATATTTTTAGTGTTTGAAACATTTATTACTTATTTTATGTTATATAACAAAAATTGATTTCTTATGGAATGTATACATACATATATAATTATACAAGTTCTTGGTAAAATAATACAAATTTGTCTTGAGTTTTTGAAAATAATATTGGACCTTATTTTGGTTTTTTACGTCGACGTCGATGTCCTTTTTTCAACTAAAAGCCCTCGTAGGTCCAACTGCTGCTACGTTGGCCACAGTATTTTTGAGGAAAGGAGTTCTTCCTGGGGTAAACGTAAGCGTAGAGTCGGACTTACGAGACCTATTTTTTGATGAAAAAATTACATCGACGTCGACCTCGAAAACCATAATAGGGCGGATTA